AATGATCTTCAATCATTAAAAACAGTATAGAATAATAAAGCTGGATCTATTATAGTAAACTCATAGCTAGCTGTAGGGGGGAAAAAGCGAGCATATATACCTCAAAAGATATACCATTTTAAAATGGGGGCTAAGAGAGGTTATATGCCTGGAATCCTAACTGCTCAGGAGGCCTCAGCATTTTGAGTTAGAGGCCAAGCCTTGTCAATTTAGCAAGACCTTGTTTCAAATAACTAAAATCTTATGAATGGTAAAATTTAAACTAGAACAACTAGAATGTAAAGGAAAATACTTTGGAATTAAATGACTAACATTTATATTCTATGAATTGTTAAACTGCCTTAAAGTCCAATGCTTTTCTGTTACTGTGTATGGATATAATAAATGTTATAAATATCTGATAAACACTTTGAATGCTGACACTTCTGGGGTTGAATTGAGAGGAAAACACAGACACACCACTTAAAATGAGTTTCACTGGATTCTTACAATGTGCAGTTTAAACTGAATGTCATACACATTTCTGTTCTGTATAGCAATTAAACCACAAACTACCGGACCCACCTTAGTTGGGAGTGATACAACTGAGAGAGATTAGCTATATGTATTTGAAAATATTAATACTCAAAATTTAGTTTTTATTTGTTTTGAACTGAGCTATATTCCCAGCCAAGACTTAGTTCTAATAGAGTACTTCATGATCCAAGGTAAGCATGCAAAGAATACCTGTAAATGTTTTTTTCTGAATGTATTCCTAACATTTTTTAACTCTATGATTTTGATTTTGTCTTGAGTCCGGCATAAATGCTGGTTTGCATGAGTTCAAGAACTAAGAACAAAAGAACAGATACAGATCAATATTCTTGATTATCAGCTTTTAAGTCTTATGTTTACAGAAGTAACAATAGGTAATAGTTACACAGGGTATTTACTCTAGGATCAAACTCTTTAGGTTTTTATACACTTTAATCCTCACAATCCTACCCTTTGAGGTAGACATGAGAATAAGGCACACATGCTAGTTCACATAGCTATTAAGCAGCAAAGCCAGGATTCAAACACAAGCAACCTGGCTTTAAGAGCCCATGCTCTTGAGCACTATGTTATGGTGCCCCTTAAAAATTAGCATAAAAAATGGGCAGGATTAATTGTAGTGGGTACTTGATTTTTCAAGAACTGTAAATTATAAAAGGGAAACTAAAGGAAAACAAGTTTCAAAATGCGATATATAACAGAAGGACCACAGTGGCTAGCCACATTTGCTTCAGAGAAGAGTCTAATTTTATGCAGAAGGAATACACAATTTATATGGATAGGTATCATGCCATGAAAGTGTAAGAGGGACTACTGGGCAGAGGGAGGAATGAAGGGGTAAGAAAGTGATAGGAGCATGAACAGAACAAAGTAGATTACATGTATGAAATTGCAGAAGTTCATTTTCTATAATAAATGTTTTTTTAAGTAGAAATCTCAAGCTGACCATAGTGGCTCATACCTGTAACCCAGTATTTGGAGGCAGGATGACCAAGAGTTCAAGATAACCCTCAGCTACATAGCAAATACAAGGCTAATCTGAGTTACATGAGACCCTATCTCAAGGCCCACTCCCAAACCCCCACAATCCCAAGGGCCCATTATATTTCTATTATCAAGGACAAAACAAAAAGTTTATTGAACATGGTCTTTGCCCTTTGCCCTCCACTTTTGTTTTCTTAAAACCTGAACAGTAAATAAGATCAAATACTTAGATAGTGAAACAATGATTTTTACATTTTTATTTTATGTATGAGTGTTTATGTGTATGAATGTTTTGCGTGCATGTACATCATGTGCATACAATGCCCTCAGAGATCAGAAGAGGGCATCCCCTGGAATGGGAGGTAGAACAGTGTAGCTGTTCAGAACCTGGGTATTCTGCAAGAGCAGCCAGTGCTCTTAACTGTTGAGCCATGTCCCCAGCCCCTGAAACACTAATTGTTAAAAATTAGTATCTTTAAACTCGAGACTAATTAAAAGTGAGCTTGGCCATGGGTGGAGGAAGAGAACAGACCTGTAATGTTTTCTAAAATTCTCATAAAGAAAACACAAGAAAAGCCATTAAATTTTTTTTCTTGACATATTCTGTAAATTTTGGTTAGCAGATATACTATCAGGCCCCAAACATGCAATTTATCCTATATATTGTGAACGAGCAGCCATGTGACCAAAATATACTAAATAACACTGTATCTTCTCCCAAAACAGAGGTTAAGAATTAAGAAGATATATGAAGTAAATTCTTGAATTTAGTTCAATTTTACTTAAGCTTATGATAAGCCTATTTGAAGCCTAAAGCAATGAGCTTAGGTAAGTCTTTTTTTGTCTTTTTGAGACAGGTGTAGCCCCAGCTGACCTGTAATTCTCTATGTAGACCAGGCTGGCCTTGAACTCACAGATATCCACCTGCCTCTGTCTCCCAAGTGCTGGGATTAAAGGCGTGAGCTACCACACCCAGCATAGCTTAAGTAGTAAGTCTTAATTGGAACCCTGAAAGCTAGATTTACTCGCTACATATTATCTTCATGCTAGAATTCTCAGAATCAGAGATAAAAATACAGTTTTTTTCTTGATGGAGGTTTTATAGGGAGAAAAATATCATTTCAGTCTTTATAATAAGGTTAATAAAGGTTCAATTCAGACATACACTTTGGTCATTTTAGTTTTATCATATCTAAAACATTCTTATAAAACAAGTATCTGTTCAAAGATAGATTACCTTTCAAGCACATGCAGAAAATACAAAAATAATTAAATTTGGTAAAAAGGAAATGTTAAAACTGCCTGAATTTGAAAGTAGTGTTAGTGTATATTAAATATCTTTAGGGACAGCTGCTCCCCAGAAAGCTTGTTCTTCTGTTTGGATGAGAGCTATTCAATGTGGACCTAATTCATACGCACCCTTAAAGTGCTCATTTCCCTGCCTAGCACTCCCAAAAGTCCTCTTAGTCCCACTCTCAAAGAAGCATAATTCTGAACTTTTAGAGGTTTTTGGAGATTTTCCTTCTATAGGGTTAAAAAAAAAACAAAAAAAAAAAACACTTTAAAAATTACAAGTTTAGACATCAATCTTCTTAATGGTACATACTGCTTCAAAATATGAGGTCAAAATGAAACTAAATGTTGTACATTTAATTTTCACTAAGATGCCAACTTTTAAATGTAGAAATAGAAAATATAGTGTAAAAAAAAAGAGTATTACCTGCCTCAAATATAAGATCAGTGAGTATTAAACAGGAACAACAATATGGCAACAAAAATAGAATTTGTACATTTGCCCAAACTGAATTAACTATTTCTTTGAGTCCAGGTAAATGGTTTCATATCAACAACTGCTACCTCATGACTTTAACTTTTCAAACACTAAAGGGGACACGTCTATTCATAGACTTCTTTTTTTTTTCCCCCGGGTCTTTTTGAGACAAGGTCTCCCCATAGCACCAGCTGGCCTTGAACTCATAGACATCCGCCTGCCTCTGCCTCTGCCTCCCGAGTGTGCCACCACGCCCGGCCTTCATAGACTTCTTAACTAAAGCATATGGTGATTTGTAAATAGTTTACTTCTGTATTTGGTATCTAACCACCAAATATATATACCTCAAAACTGTCCATGTGACCCTACAAACCTCTTCAGAAGCAATATCTAGCACGTATCTTAAGACATGAATTGTACATCAACATATATACATATATATATATATATAATCTTGATAATATGAAAGAAGAGTCCCAAATAGTTTTTATACTGCTAACATTTAAAAAAAAAACAACTTATCATCAGCTCCGTTTCCTGAAAATTCAGTTGAGGTAACCTCTGCAAATCTCTGCTCCACATTTGCATTCAGTTCGGACCCTTTTTTTGGCAGGGCTGAGGTCAATAGAATCTGAAGATAATTCTCCAGAACCTGAATGTATAGAAAAAGAAACAAGAGGTAAGACATTTTCAAATAGGGTTGGGGCTAAAGGGAGACCCTGTATCAAAAAAATAAAAAAGTAGAGAAATAAATAATACAAAAAATAAAAATAAAGAAGAAAAAAAAAGATACTTTCAAATAGGGGCTGGAGAGAAGGCTCAATGGCTAAGCATGCTTACTGCCCTTCCAGAGGACGAGAGTTCAGTTCCTAGCACCAGTGTTGGGTAGCTCACAACTGACTATCATTGCAGCTCCTTTGCCCTCTTCTGGCCTCTGTAGGCACCCAAACGCATTTGCTCAAACACATAATATACATAATTAAAAATAATCTTTTTTTTAAAAAAAGATACTTTAGAATGAATTTAAATTTTTCTGCTAGTTTTAAAGTTGCTAGCAATGGTTCTTACTTACCCAATACCATGAGAGTACTCATGGGGTAACTGCCTAAGAAATTGTTTTGTATTTATGAGATAATTCATTGAGTTGTCTTGAAGGATGGTGTGGGCTAATAACTGGTAAAGCATATTACTGTCATCTGTATATATGAGAATATATATCCAACATGATGAGCTCACTGAGAAAATCCAATGCACATTCTTTTCATGCATTACTAAGAGCACAAATGAGGATGTTCTCAGCAAAAGAAAACATGAATAATCACAATACAGCAAATCTAATCAAGTGGTTTTGGGGGGGGGGGGGATTTTTTTGGAGAAGGGGCTCCCATTGAGACAGGGTCTCCCTGTAGCCGCAGCTGACCTGGATTCGCTATGGAGACCAGACTGGCCTCGATCTCACAGAGATCCATCTGCCTCTGCCTCCTGAGTGCTGGGACTAAAGGCATGTGCCACCATGCCTGGCCTAATCAAGTGTTTTAAAAAGCCAGCTTCAAGGGGCTGGAGAGATGGCTCAGTGGTTAAGAGCACTCCTATTTGTATAGAGGACACGGGTTCAGTTCCCAGTACCCACATGATGGTTAACAACCATCCATAACTCCAGTTCTGGGAGAATCTGATGCCCTCTTCTGACCTCTGCATGACATGGGTGCACTTACATACATTCAGGCAGTACACTCATATACAAAATAAAAATAAAAAAACATTTTTAAAAAGCCAGCTTCAAAAATGAATAAAGTTTATATGTAATTGAAATATTTTTCAATTTTGTGAATATATATATTAGTAAAATTTTAAAAACTGTAGGCTTATAATTTTTATTAGTACAAGTAATATTGACCAAAGATGTTATCAGCTTCCAAAATGGAAGTTCTGAAGAGAGTCAGCATCAATGTGATTCAGAAGAAAGAGCATCTCCCAGCTTAGGTAAGGCAGACCTAGGCTCCAGCTTCAGCTGTCAAATGAGCTTTAGACTTTAAGATGACAAAGTCTTACACCCTCAATTTCTTTCATTTTTAAAGTTTTCTTTTTTTTAATTAACATACAGAGTAATGGGCTTCATTATTTTCAAATATACTTCATGTTGATCCTCCTCCCACAAATTTCATTCACTTTCAATGTTAGTTTGGTTCATGATCTAAAGACTTATCTTGACTGTCATAGTGAAACGAACACCAATGAAACTGCTTGAAACCATACCTTTCATTTGATAATCAAAAGTCAGCTCTTCTCCGGCCTCTATTGTTCTAGTGGAAAATAATGCTATTCTGGGAAGACGAGTATCAAGGTTATCAACGAAAACACTAAACACCTGAAGATTTGGGTCACACTAAAAAGGAACAGTAAGATTTGTTTAAGTAAAACTGATTTGAAAGAGCTTGTCTGCATGCCATATAAAATATAAAACCTTTCATCTCCCAGGGTATTCATTTTTTAAGTGGTATGGCAAACTACACTGCTTCCTATGGCATGCACATTCAAAAACACCATTTTCATGCATAAAAAATTTTATAGACATACATAAAAGAACAGAACAAATCTACAAGTATCCACTATATGGTTTCTACAATTAACACTTTGTCAATCTCATTTATCCAGTCTTAACTATTTTTTTCTGAAAAATTTTTAACTCAAGTTCCATTCATAACATGGCCATTCCACTCTCCACTATTTCCGTAAGGCACATAAAGCATATAAAGAACTGGAATTATTTTAAAATCAAATCAGCACCATGGAATTCAAATTTTATAGTGCATTGTTTCATTGCTTAAACTTTTATTTGGAATTGTTCAACATTTTGAGTTTATGCAAGAAGAGACCTAGTGAATTACACCAAGAAACCGAAATAGGTATTTAATTGTCCTTGAATGGGATATATGTACTGGGGAGTAAAGTTGGCCCTCTGTATCTGGGGACTCAAACAATCCTAACTATGGATTATAAGAGTATTTAAAGAAAAAAAATCACACTTGTACTGAACATGTATAGACTGATGCTTTTGCCCTATTCCCTAAACAAGACAACTAGTACATTGTATTAGTTATAAGTAATTTGTAGATAATTTAAAGTATGAGAGGATATATAGGCTTTATGTCTCAATTGTATATAAGGAACTTCAAGGATTTTGGTACTTGTAGGGGGTATCCTTTGGGACACTGAAGAATGACTGTATCTCAAATTTATCATTAAAAAATTATTTTAAAAAATATATAAATCAGACAACTAAAAAGGGAGTTAATCACACAAGCAGTTTCTTGGTAAGCAATTCACCAGACATTTGAACATGGTCATATCCCTATAAGATCAGCTACATGACATACTCCACGGTATATTTTTCCTTATTATCTGTCACCTTACTGGGCTTACTATCCAGAACTTAGCAAGTGCCCAATAATTATTACCTTCCCTTATTTTTTGAAAATTAGAAAGTACAAGATTCTGGAGTACAGTTCTAGGGGTTGGATAGATGGTCAGCAGTTAAGAGCACTTGCTATTCTTGCAGAAGAATCAAGTTCATTTCCCAATACCCACATCAGGTGTCACACAACCACCTGTAACTCTGGCTCCAGAAAAACCAATAGCCTCTGGCCTCTGATGGTACCTCCCAACTCAAGCACATAAACACACACACACACACACACACACACACACACTTTTTAAAGATTACAGTTACAGTTATAATCTAAGTTCTTTCAAACAAATTAAAAATACTAATTTATAATTTAGAAAAATAATCCTAAATGCTTCAATATTCTATAAATTTTATTTTAAAACATTAACATGCCTACATTTACAAAAAAAGGTAATCTTCCCCACATAGAAAGGGGGAAATGGGTAGCAGGCCCCAACCCTAGCCAAGGAATTATTGGCAAATGATTACTGTGGGGTGAAGAAGAGTAGACCTTCTTTAAGGAAGTGATTCTAGACAGGCTGACTAGACTCCAGTAGATAAACTTGCACCAAGGGACACCTAGATAGAAATGCTTGACTGGATGGGACTTAGATTATATGACAAAATACCTGAAATCTGGTGGGGGGAGGCTATGGGAAGTGGGAAGGGGGGGTATCTAAATTTGATTAAGATGTATTATAGGAAATGCACAAAAAGTCAATAAAAGTATTAAAAATGAAAAAAGTTACTTTTAGCTATATAGTAATCTTCCCATATTCATGGGAGCACAGGTCCTCAGTGGATGCCTAAAACTGCCACAGTACCAAATCTTATATATGCTAGGTTTTTGTCTTATACAAAAGACACAGTAAGAGATCAACTACTATTAAAATCCAAGTATCAAAAGAAGTTTTGTGAGTGGTGTCTCTATGAAAATGTCTTGCTATTCTTTCACCTTATTACTTAGGGGAAAACATTAATAAGTACAAATTGTTAACATTACTACTCTTGTGCTCCTTAAAATAAGGGTCACCTGAACAAAAGTAATACTATGACAGCTGATCTGATAACCTGGTGAGCCAGTAAGCAGTTATCCAGTGACATACGCAGTATGCATGCACTGGACAAAGGGATGGCTCTTCTCCCCAGAAGAGTGGGTTTTGAGGACAGGCGACTTCAGCTGCTAATCAGAACAGCAAACAATTTAAAACTTAGAAATAATTATTTCCAGAATTTTCCACTGGATATTCTGGACTGCAGCTACCTGGATAACTGCAGCTACGTAAAGTAAAAAGTGTGATACCAGGAAGGGCTACCACACATTTTAAAATTTAGTGCTGTTACCTTCCAGGAGGTATCTTTGTGGTGATTCTTAATTTTACTTAACTCTCCTGCTTATAATTCCCCCTCTTCTGCTATGAAGCTAACACCTACCTTATAAAGTTATTGAAAAGTTTAAATGAAGTGACATGTAAAGACTCTCGCAAAACATGATAGCTGTTAAGCACCTCAATAATACAGCAATATCATGACAATGGGAGGCCCTTATATGAAAACATTTTGAACTGATATCATAAAGATAATTATCTTTCAGTTATGGAAAAGTCATTAAAAAGAGTACTAAGTTGAATTCTTTGTCTTATCTATGAGTATTTCTTACACTGTGATTCACAAAATGAGACACATTTCCATATCGAGCTGCATCCACTGTGAATTCATCAGATTCGTAGTCCAGATCAAAGAGATAGGTGATCCCTTTGTTGTCATATAACTGCCCTCGTCTTTCAGCCTCTTCACTTGTGATTACCTAAGGAGAAAAGACAAAAAGCAAATCCCTTATAGTTCTGTGAGTTTTTTTGAAGCAGGGTCTCATTATGCTGCCCAGGCTGTTCTGAAACTTCTAGGATCAAATGATCTTTCTACCTTAACCTCCCAAGTGGCTGCACTACAGGTAACATTGTATTTAGCAAAACCATATAATATGCTGGGAATATAGCTCAGCGGTAGAGCACTTGCCTAGCATGTGTGAGGCCCCAAGTTCAATGCTCAGTACTGCATAAATAAATAAGGACTATTTTCAAAAAACATAGAATGTTGTGTAGGTACCACTGAACTAAAGAAACATTATTCATAACTTTATTACTATATTGAGACTTAAGAATAGTTAAACAGAAATTCAAGTATCATCTCAAAGCAAACATTCATACAAACTAAAAGCTAGATGGAAAAAGGTACAAAAAGATGGAGGGAAAATGATGGGACAGAAGAATGACTAAGAATAAAATCTGCAATGAGCTAAAATACTGCATTACTTTCATTATAATTAGGCTGTTCAAAAGCTATATACCCATAGCTCTACATAATAAAAAGGACTACTACATTTACATGTATATATTCTAAATAAGCTCTAAGGGCATATTTTCCTATAATCAGTAAAAAAGAAAAAAAAGTAAATTTTTTGGTTATGTAACAGCAGAGAATTTGAAAAACTGAAATATGAAATTAACTGTACGGAAAGCTGTTTTTTAGAACAGATACGCAGGAAATGCTTCAACTCAAAATCATCATCCAGGGGCTAGGGATGTAGTGCAGTGGCACAGCCAGCCTGCATCAAGCACTGGCTAGGTTCTACCCCACCACTACCAGAGGAAATAAATATGTTATCTACAGTTCTGTTCTTATGAGCACAGCTTGATCATCAGCTCAGCTCAAGAAACCAAAAGTACCCAGAGACTCATATTCTCAACCAAATCTGGCTGATGAATTGTTAAAAAAGGCAATATGCTTACATAAGACCTAGTGTCTTGATAGTGCTTTATTATAATCTGCCACTGTCTGGACTATATAAGGATCAGAATTCTCAATGAACACAGATTATAGGTGATCCAGCTCCAAAGAAGAAACATCAGATGTGACAATCCCAGATATGCAGCCATACCCATCCTTCTATCCAGAGCTTAACCCATCATTCAGTTTGAAGCAGTGTGGTGCAGTGAAGAATACCCATTTTGGAGTTTTAAATCCTGGCTCTTCTTTACTTCAATGTGACCTATGTGACCCTGGGCAAGTTCCTCCATTTCTCTATGCCTCAGTTTCTTCATTTGTAATATGGGAGATAACAGTACTACTTCAGAGTTGAGGATTAGTAAATTAATAAGGTGCTTAGAGTCTTTGGCACATAAATACTACTTTAATATTTATGTACATGATGTTTATAAAAATATGTTACTTGGTTATTTAGAGAATGGTCTGCACTTCAAAGTGGCTGAGTTTTAGGTAAGATTTTTGGATTCAATAAATATATTTTATAGTAAAGCACATTCTACCCAATAACATCTCTCATGTTGATACAAAGAAGTTCTAAATTTGTAAATAAAAGAAACAACCACATTGTGCCAAATTAATGAAGTAAATTGTAATTTCAAGGTTTCAAAGTCAGCATGTGTTTAGGACTAATTTTTTTCTTAGGACGTTTGTATAAAGTATATTTTAAATATGGACATGCATAACAGATGGAGATTATTAGAGTTCCAGAACTGGTCAAACACAGAGAAACAGTGTCTGTGAGACACTTAACCCTAAGCAACACATCTTCAATACAACCTCTACACATAGGATAAATGTATCTCTCACCTCTCACCAGAGAAGTTTCTTTATGCAGCAGATGGTGGTTAACACAGAAACTCACAACTGGCCAATGTGCAGAGAACAAGAGGCTGCAGAGTGCTTATCTCTGAAATAGGACACCTATTCCAAACTTCTGCCTCCCAAGGCTCAGTGATCATTGCGGAAGAGGAGGTGGAAAGATTGTAAGAGCCAGAGGGGGTAGATGACCACAAGGAAACAGTCTTCCAGACAGCTGGTCAGTTACTCATATGAACTAACAGCAATGGTGACAGCATGCACAAGTCCTAAATAAGCTCAAAAGAAACAAAATCCCAGCGTAGACGGGGAATTGGTTAAGAAATCCCAACCCAACCTAATTGATGGCTGCTGGGCATGGGAAAAACAGTATCTTACAGGGCTGGGAGTCTTGGTGGGCCCAGTGCATGGACTCACACTGAAGGATATTTGGGGACATAAATCACTCTATAGGCCATATTGTGTGTGTGTGTGTGTGTAAGACAGTACATTAAACTAGGCAGAAAGCAATGGGGGGAGATGCGGACAGAGGAGGGGATCTAAATATCACCAAACTATATTGTATGAAAATCACAAAAATTCCATAAAAAATATGTATGTGCTTTGTTCAATGCCTATGAATGTTTGTTGAAAGGCAACTATTAACTTTATATATTTTTTCTCATATAAAGTTTACATTTCTAATTGTGCCAGTGAATCTTTCTCTGAAACCTGAAAATGAATTTCTACATATCTGCAAATGATATCAAAATGTATCAAGTATTTACATTAATAAGGTAGAAAGATAACTTTTAAAAAGTGTAAACCTATATGCATGTCATCTTCTACAGGATGAATTTAATATACCTCTCCAACATACTCCATGACAAAACTCATTCTTTTAATCTTCACAAGGGTTTTTACACCCCATCCACAGCCATTGCTAGTTCGAAAGATGCAGAGTGAATATTGTGTGCCTTTTTGTACTATCCTATTGGGACAGTCAGGTCCACATTGGCACCTTGAGTTGCATTCATAGATTGGAGTGCCAGGTTGGATTCTAATTTGTTGGTTCTTATTATAAGCTAAAACAACTCCAGCTTCAGCAGGACGACACTTCTCAAAGAAGCAATTTGTATACGAACAACCAAAGGTAGCTTCGTTGTCTAAGCTGATCCCAGGAGCTGGCTTGTATTCATTAATGTAGTAGAAATCTGAAGGCGGGCCCTCCAAGTCAACAGTATTTTCCACAAATATCATTCCTTTATGACTCTTTCTTCTGTTGAGGTCATCTTGCCATCTCTGCAGAGCTATTCTTTGTTTAGCTTTCTTTACAATGTACTCAGCAATGGCAGGTCTCAAAGTTTTGTTATTATTGTCTTTTGGAATTATTGCGTTGCCTTTCTTTACCCGAGATAAATAATTATGCTTGTCATTAGAGAACTGCTGAAGTAGTAATGGACACTTCAGATTTTTCAAGGGTTCCCACGTATTTGTAGAATCTGGCCATCCTTTCCATTTTACAAGATAATATTCCATATCCTTAAAATATAAAAGAAAAGGCAAATCAGATGACAGTCTGTATTTATAATTATTAGTAAGCTACCATTATAATTTCTCTTAATAGCTCAGAATACATAAAAAGTCACAACTTTCTAGCAGATAAAGTATAAATCACATAAACAAAACTTTTTAAAATACAGAATTTAGTAGGGAATGCCATTTGGCAACAGGTTAAAGAATCTCATCTAAAGAAGGATAAAGGCACTGAAATTTATGACTATTTTAAATTAGATCAAAGAAAAAGTATTTACCTCAATCATGGAAACAGATGGTCGGAAAGCTAACATTAGGCTAGTGGCTCACGTGGCTAGTATAGTTGTGGGCATTTTCTATGGTAACGTAATGTCCACTGGACATGTAAGAACTTACATTCCTCAAAGTCATGGGCATACATCTCTTACTTGTTCTAAAGATGAGCTGCACAAGGTAAACACTGATAGGCACATGTAGCTATCGAGAACTTAATAATTTGACTAGTCCCAAAAGAGATATACTTAAAGCATAATACACACTGCATTTCAAGGATGTAGGTACAAAATAAAGCAAAATAATCTTTACCTTTAAAAAAAATAGTGACTGTGTGTTGAAATATTTTACAGATATTGGATTAAGTATGATTGAAAGCAATTACTACTTTGTTTTTGAAATTTTAGTTTAATGTGGTTACTAGGAAAGTTTAAAATGATACCTGCAGCTCATTTTATACATTTCTATTGGACAATAATATCTTAGTGAATGGTGACCTTATTTAGATCCACCCATGACTAGATTAAGTAGTAGGCATAAAAGACACCAAAGATCACATATTTTATCCCCTAGCATGCTTCTGGCCCTATCTGAAATCCCCTTTTTACACCCTAGTGACTTGACTCTTTTCTTTCCTTAAGGTCAGTCAATGCTATGTTCATTAAGTTTCTCCTTTAAAAGGCAGTTAAATATATATAGTGAGTAAATTCTGAAGTACACTCTTTCAATAATCACTTTGTCTTAGAATAACTAGCATATACTTACATGCCCTACAGTAACCTAAGCTCATAAAATGCTCTTGAATAGGAAAGTGACTAAAATTTACTTGCTTTAGCTTTTTAACATTACATTTATTTATTTGTGTATGAATATGTATAGGTAAGTACTTGTGGAGCACATGCCATGGCACAGATGTACAGGTCACAACTTGCAGGAGTTGGTCTTCTTCCACCAGGTGGGTCCCAAGGATTGAACTCAAGTTATCAGGCTTGGTGGCAAGTGCCTTCACCTGCTGAGCCATTTTGCTGGTCCACTGTTTTTTAATTGTCATTTTAACTCATAGATACTGAAAAAACTTACTAGTTAGGACAAATGTGCTTTACTCTGAAAATTTTAGTAACATTTTTATTAGAAAGTAAGGATGCACATGATGGTTGTTTTAACATCTATCATTTCTAACCCCACCACAATATGGAGGTTCAAACTCAAGAGTCTCACCTGTGCCATGTAAGCATTATTGCATTATCACCGAGTTATAATCTCAGCTCCAATCCATAATTTATTAATGACAAATGACCTAAGTTTGCTAACATATAACTGGCCTGAAGAACAGTTACACATCCACCAGTGAACTTATTTTATCCTCATGATCAGTATCTTAATGTTTTATTATGTTCTACTCAATAATCAGTAATTCTCATTAAAAGAATTCTACTTCATTTTGAAAACTGATCAAAATATTTTTTCTTGTATGTTTAATGGCAATCTCAGCATCTATACAAAAACTGTATTTACACAGAATTATATTGTAGTTCTATGGGGGGTGGGTGGGAGGGGGACACTAGTTATACACCAAAGTATAGCGAATGGAGCCTCACTATGGCCATCCTTCCTCCAGTGAGGTAATGATAATCTGGGATTGTTGGCAGCAGGTCTACTTGCACTGAAGTAGACATGGGATCCAAGTAACATTGTCTTAACTCATCTACTCCCCTTTAATTCTCAAGTCTCTTATACTTTTCTAACACAGAAGAAAACAATGCAACCCTGATCCTTTTACTGCCAGAAAAAAAAACTGACTTTGACAAAATAGTATGGAAATGTTAATATTCTATTTCTGGTGTGTACATTTGTTTTTCACTTTGCAAGCATATTTTATTTTTAAAATTTTAAAATAATATTTCCATTTTGAAAAATAAGACAAATAAAAGCTAAAAAGTTAAGTCTTTTTTATCGGTATCTTATTCTAATATGTAATCCACTTCTGATTATCTACAGAAATGGAAATATAGTGGTAAAAGCAATCCATAAATTACTCCTATGTAATTTGTAATACATTTAGTGATTTTTTTTCTTAAATAACATTTCCTCCATTGTAGCTGGCATGAATTAAACACACTCCTATTTTCATATTTATAATTATGTGACAGTTTGACTCCTAAGAGGTATGATAGAACTCACATGCCTTTAGGTGTAAAATCCCATTGGGAAAAGAAGGCAGAATGTGAAACAAATAGGAATATAAGACAATTCAGTTTTACATGCCAAAATAACAAAACCAATATTACTAAGATATAAAGAGGGAACTCAATATAGGTCAGGTAATTAGAAAAGCAGAGAAATCAGAAAAAGCTATACTATAAAAGACAGAATTTTCTGTGTATGAACCATGGGAGGCATGGTGAAAAGCAAAAGCAAAAGCTTTGGCTTTCATGAAAATATCCAGAAAACAGTTAAGAGATACGTTTGTCCTGTTTTAAAGTTCAGAATGTTTAGTAGAGATTAATAAAACTGTAATGTAAATTCCAAGAGCGAATTTTGGACAACCCTAAACACTTACCTGAATTATTAGAACTTTATTGTTGGGTCAATCCAATACTTCTTAAAAGTTTTTAGAAACCATGGCCTTTCTGTTGAGAGCGTTATTAATACATACACATTTAACTCCACTTTACAATCTTATTAATTTCCAAAACAATGTATCCTTCCATCTTCATCTATTCCGACCTCTTACACAGCAGCCATTGTTACCATTCCTTAGGTTTCAAAGCAATGATTTCTCTTATTCTTGTCCCCTTTCTGCTTTCTTACTAGGATGGCTTCTTTTCTTCCTAACCTAACCAGACAGATCGCAAGACTCTGTCCTTGGGTCATTCTCACATTAACAAGTGCTTATCCTTTTTGAGAATCTGACAAAAGCTATGGACATTCCATAACAAATGTCACATATACAACTCTTTGGGTAACTCCAGGACATTTGAATTCCAGCTCTAAATGCTTACTACCCCAGTGATTTAAACAATTTTATGCTGATGATTCCCAAAACTTTACCTGCAACTCATATAGCCAACAGCCTACTGATGCCCAACCTGTTCTTAGAGCAATCTATGTTCATGGAATTCACCACTGCCTTTCCTAAACAGATTTCTGTATGACTTATCAAGGTAAAGCTTATCAAGCTACTCTTACACAAGCTGCCAATCCTAATTCCTTCTCCTTAATCCAATCCAATCCAATCAAGTTTCCATAGAGATGAGGTTCTTCCTACCCATCTCTATTATAAAAGCTTTAGTTAATTTTGTCCCTTAATCATTTCTGGACTATCACAGCAATCTCCAAGATGGTTTCCTTGCCTCCAAACTGGTAACACTCTAATCTATCCTCCACAATGAAAGTGTAAGGTTTATATTATATTTTTTTTAAAAAAGAAGATGGAAGCTGGAGAGATGGCTCAGCAGTTAAGAGCACTGGCTGCTCTGGCAGAGGACCCAGGTTCAGTTCCCAGCACACACATGGCAGCTAACAATCATCTATAACTCCAGTTCCAAAGGATTTGATGCCCTCCTCTGGCCTCCATGACCACTTGCATGCACAGGTGCACTTACAGGCAGGCAGGCAAAAATATTCATACACATAAAATAAAAATAAAAATAAAAATGATGGGGCAGGGGTATGCCTTAAGTGTTAGAGTCCTTGTTCAAGGCCTTGGGGTCCAGTTCCAGCAATACAAAATAAACAACCCCAAATTCAGTAGAAAGTGGTTGTTCACTTCTGTATCCCAGCTACTCCAGAGACTAAGGATCACTTGGGCTCACAAATTCTAGATCAATCTAGGCAACATAGGAAGACTACACTTAAAAAATAAAATGCTGGGCCAGCAAGATGGCTTAGTAGGTAATGGTGCACCTGCCAGAAGGCCTAACAACCTGAGTTTAAGCCCTGGGACTCACACGGTAGAAGAAGAAAACCAACTCCCACCAGCTGTCCTCTGACCTCTATATATGCAAGCTAGGGCATGTACCCCCCCCAACACAAAATATATAAATGTTTAAAAAGATCATTAACAAGTTTGGTCCCTGCCCTTCTGGCTTCATCTCCCCTCTAACCCCACTCACTGTATTCGCTAACCACACTGAATTCCTGCTTATAGCTGAGCACAGCAGATCACTTTTACTTCCCTACTGCTTTGCTCACAGTTTTCCAGTTACAGTGGCTTTGTCATCTGCCTGCCCTTTGCTTAGAGCTCATTTCAGTCTCATATGTAGATAAATCTAGTCATCTTTTTTTAAAATTTTTTTAAATTTTTATTTTATGTGTATACGTGTATTGCCTGCATGTAGGTAAGTGCACCTGTGTCGTGCAATGCCCACGGAGGTCAGAAGAGGCTGTTGGATCCCCTGGGATTGGAGTTACGGACAGTCGTTATCTGCCACGTGGATACTGGGATTTGAACCTGGGTCTTCTGCAAGAACATTCAGTGTTCTTAATCGCTGAGCCATCTCCAGCCCCATAGTCTTTTTTTTTTTTTTAAACTGTATGCACTCTTGAGGAGGCCAGAAGAGGGCATTGCATCCCTTGGAAATGGAGTTACAGGCAGCTGTGAGCCACCATGTGGGTGCTAGGAACCAAACCTGTATCCTATATAAGAACATTAAGCTGCACTGGCTGCTCTTGCAGAGACCCAGGCTCGATTCCCAGCACACACATGGCAGCTAACAACCATTTGTAACTCC